GATTCGAATTGAGTGATAGGTTCGAGTCAATGCTACGTTAGTGGGCGTCCACCTAAGGGAAATCCTATTGGATGACGTCTATGCTAGGTTACGGAAACCTAGGAGCTAGATAATGATTATGGGGAAATCAACCTCAAATAATGAGGTCAACAATATGGTGAGAGTTAATGTAGGTTGACCTTCAAAATTATCAATATTATACTGATGAGAATGAAGCTTCACATTGATCTTCTCAAGACATGTGAAGATCCTCAAGCAGGGTTATTATGTCCACATAATTATATTTGTTCATTAGAACATTTATATTATAAGTGGGAGGAACCTCTATTCCTTCCATGATGATGAGAGAATCTTAATATGTGTAGTATATTACCTCAAGTTCCGAGTCATCAAATATAATTTGAGCATTTATTATGTTTATTTTAAAACTAGAGAAATTATAAATAATAGTTATTATTTCATAATAGTTTTCATAACACTATTGACTTCATTATGAGCTCTTATGATTCCCTCCATCTTGAGGGTGGATATTGTCAAACTAGTCTTGGATGTACAAGCTCAGAATATATATGAAGAATAATGTGTTCCAATTCTTCATTCTGGTGAAATATTTTTCTAATGAAAGTCCTTCAAAATGATAAAAATGATATTATGTTGATTAACCTTCATCATTCGAGTTATTAACATCTTTAATCACTTGAGCTATCGATATTATGGATGTTGATTAAAATATTTTTATGAATGTATTCAACGAGTGTAATTAAGAAGTTGATGTTGATGTTGACAATACTGAGGTGAGCGAGCAAGGTGATATCAACCCTTGGTTGCTTTTATTTTCTCTATTGGGGATGTCAAGTAGTCTCTTGATATTGGTTCTTTCCTGTGTAGTCAAGTTGTCGAAATTTCTTACAGTAGAAGATGATAGCCTAATATATGAAAATTTGTATGTATATTCATTCAAACATATTACCTTCCACTACAAGAAAAATACCAATTTCATTTGGCCATTTACCACCAAAAAATGTCCAAAATCTACCATAAAAATAGCTTTCGAGCAGATTTTGTTTTTCCTAGTGAAACGTGCATCAGAAAGTATCCTTCAATAGAAACTTTCTACTGGAAAAATTTCCAATGGTGTTCCAGTGGATTTTTTACATAGCCAAAGTAGAAAAATGCCGTATTTTGAGCCAAATTACCAACGAATATTCAATTGGTAATTTCAACAAATTTTTTCTCTAAAATTTGCAATGGTGTTATCCATTATAATTTCAATAGTAATATCAGCTCAATTAATAGGAGAGTAGATCGATAAAGAACACTTACCAAACATCATTGAAAGGAATGTAGATAGGATGAATGACTTTTGAGAGGAGGTTGGACCGAGCAAAATCGTCGGGGAATGGCCGATTGGAAGCAATTTGATCGAGCAGTGAATGGGAGAGGGTTTTCGCATGAGAAAGGATATGGGAGAGAAAACTGACCTAATTAGATGAAGTAGGGGAAAAAACATTGATGTAGGGCCCTCTCCAATGGTATATTGCAAAAAAAATTTTGTCATAACTTTACCGAAAAAAATTCCACCAGCAAATGCCTCAGGTATTAAGTAAGAGGACTGTATTCTAGTGGCAATCTGTGGAAACCTAGTTCTTGAGGTTTCAGAGATCTTCTTGATGGAAAGGGAAAGAACGCAGAGCAAAGCAGAAGTGATAAGAAATATATTTTCTATTATGTTGTTTAATGAATACAGCATCAGTCCTATATATAGAGCTGGATAGGCTGTCCGCCTATAAGTAAATTACAATACAGCCATAATGAAAAGAATACAATATTATTTGCATATATATCCCTAACATTTCCTTCAAACTAATGGGTCTTGTGTGACACTTAGTTTGTCTCTAAGAGTGTGAAATCGAGGTGTTGAAAGCGGTTTAGTTAGGATATCTGCAGTTTGATCGACTGTACTGAGTGGAAGCAATCGAATGTTATTGCTTGTGATTTGTTCCCGTAGAAATCTTTGATCAATCTCGATATGTTTAGTACGTGCATGAAGCACCGGGTTGTTGGCAAGAGCGATTGCAGAAGTGTTATCACAGAATAAATTGGTCGGTTGATTGGGCGGAATTCCAAAATCAACGAGTATTCTTTTTAGCCATATAATGTCTGCCGTTAAGGCAGCCAGTGAGCGATATTCAGATTCAGTCGAAGATCGAGCTACGGTGTGCTGCTTCTTTACTGTCCAAGAAATAAGATTGTTGCCTAAGAACGAACAGTAGCCAGATGTAGATTTTCTTGAAATAGGATCGCCCGCCCAGTCGACGTCTGAAAAGGAATGTAGAACAAGATTAGTCTTTGTAATAGTCTCCGTAATTAACCGTACCTTTGAGATATCGTAGAAGTAGCTTTAGAAGGTAGACATGTTGCGGAAGTGGATCATACATGTGCTGGGAAAGCAGGTTAACACTGAACGCAATGTCTGGACGAGTGAGCGTTAAATATTGTAATGCTCCTGTGAGTCTTCTGTAGGTTGCTGGATCGGTGAGCTCAGTATTATCGGAAATGACCAGCGGTAATTTGGTAGCTGTGGGATTTGATAAAGGATTGCAATGCAGCATATTGCCTTGTTTTAGAATAGATACAGTATATGGAGCTTGAGATAGAAAATATCTTGATGGTGCCTTTTTAATTTGGATACCGAGAAACGCATTTGCTTCGCCCAAGTGTTTCATCATGAATTTATTACTTAACTTGGCCAGAAGCTGCGTGATAGCGTTTTGATTGTTACCTGTTATTAGGATGTCATCTACGTAGACAAGAAGAAATATGTGAATGCCATCTCGCCTAAACAGAAGAAGTGATTGATCAGATTTACTATGTTCAAACCCGATGGACAGCAGGTACGTGGTGAAAGTGGTATACCACTGTCTTGGGGCTTGACGAAGACCGTAAAGAGCTTTGTGTAACCAACAAACATGGTTGGGGTGAGTAGAGTCCTCGAATCCTTTCGGTTGAGTCATAAAGATTGTTTCTTGGAGGTCGCCATGCAGGAATGCGTTCGCCACGTCGAGTTGTTGTAATGACCACGAATGATACAATGCTACGCTCAGGAGAATTTGAATGGTGGTCAATTTGGCGACCAGACTGAATGTCTCTTTATAGTCAATGCCTTGTTCCTGATGATTTCCAAGAGCCACGAGTCTTGCTTTGTATCTAGCGATAGATCCGTCCGAGTGATATTTTGTACGAAATGTCCATTTGCACCCTAGTGTAGACACGTTGGGTGGTGGTTCTACCAAAGTCCAGGTGCCTTGTTTTTGCAGGGCTAGGAACTCATATGCCATGGCCTGGCGCCAATGTAGATGCTTGACTGCAGTTGTGTAGGAAGTAGGGTCCTGTTACTGCTGAGACAAGGTGTTTATATGAAGTAAATTTAGGCGTACCTGTGGTTTAAGGGATCCAGTCTTCTGCCGCGTGATCATAGGATGGCTTGATAATTGAGGTGAGATGGAAGGTACACTGTCGTTACCTAGAACCATGGGTACATCTCCAGGTGAGATGGTAGAGAGTTCGGTGTGCTCCTATTCGACCAAATGCCTGGCATCAGTGTGAATTGTCGCATTCTCAGAATTCGGAATTTGAGTAGAACCAATTGTTGAGGTTTGTATAAGTAGCAAGGGTTGATTGAAATCATTAATCGGAGCCTGATTAGAGGATTTGTTTCCTGCAGAAAATGGAAAAATGTGTTCATCGAACATAACATGTCGTGACATGAAAAGTTTATTTGAGGAACTGTCCAAACACTTATAGCCTTTATAGGTTTCGGAGTAACCGAGAAATACGCATGACCGAGCACGAGGTTGAAGTTTATGTCGGAGACTGGGAGGAATGAGCGGGTAGCATGCGCAGCCGAATGTTTGCATATTTTGATACTCCGATTTACTATGGTAAATGAGTTCGAAAGGGGACTTGTTCTTGGTAGTAGATGATGGCGTTCTGTTTATTAGATAAACTGCTGTAAGAATGGCGTCAGGCCAGTATGTGGGAGGAACGGATGCGGTGAATAGAAGGGAGCGAGTAGTTTCAAGAATATGCCGGTGCTTCCGCTCGGCTAACCCATTCTGTTTAGGTGTGTATGGACAAGAAATTTGATGAGCTATACCGTTGGCGGTTAGAAACTGAGTAAAAACATGATTCATGTATTCCGTTCCACCATCGGAGCGGAGGCATTTAATTTGATGCGACGTAAGTTTTTCAATGTAATTTTTAAAGTTAATGAATATAGATGTTACTTCATTTTTATGTTTCATAGGATAGAGCCATGTAAACCGTGTGCAATCGTCAATAAAAAGAACATAAAACCTGTACCCTTGAAAGGATTCAACTGGAGCGGGACCCCAGACGTCGGAGTGGACAACCTCGAGCGGTATGTGTCTCCGATTTTCAGAGGATTCGAAGGGCAATTTATGCCCCTTAGCCAGAATACAAGAACTACAGGAGAATTCATTAGAATCTATATTGAGACAGGGATTACATTTAGAAACAAGATTAAGAATCTTAAAATGTGGATGTCCTAAGCGATTATGCCAAGACGTCATCGGCTTCTTGATAGCCATTAAAGCGGATGTAGTAGACTTCGCAGGATGCAGCCGGATCGGATAGAGTCTTTCATGGCATGGTCCGCGGAGTAGTATTTGTTGTGTCTGAATATCCTTAAAAACAAAACCGTTAGGCTAAAAAACAATACAAATATTATTGTCCCTAGTTAATTTTGAAATAGAAAGCAGGTTATACTTAAGTTCCGGAATATGCAAGATCTTTGCAAGATTGAGCTTACGGTGAGTGGTATTCAACAAACCTGACCCGAAATGAGCTATCGACATAGAACGCCCGTCTCCTAGCGTTACAGTGTCTGAACCGTGGTATGGATCGATAACTGAAAGATTATCCAGTGAATTGGTGAGATGAGATGATGCGCTGGAGTCAAGAAACCAATTTGAAGTAGGTCATTCTTGTGTGGCTGCCAGAGCAGTGTTTCTTGATCGTGGCACATAGCTCTCGTTTAGACGATGCCAACAGTTAGCTTCGGAGTGTCCCCGCTTGTGGCATATCTGACATGTAGTTGTAGAGTCAGCTGTTGATATCACGGTAGTCGGGTTGTTGTTGTTAGATCGGCCACGCTGCCTACGTCCACGACCTCGCTGCATGTATAAGGCGATATTTGGATCTGCAGGTGGCAGATTCCGTGCAGCGTCGGCCGAGATGTTTACTTCTTCGCTGAGTAGCAGTGGGTAAAGATCGTCCAGGCTTATCGGGGTGATCATGGTGCGTATTGCAGTCTTGAATGCTTGATAAGATGGTGGTAGACCATTCAAGATATAGAGGATTATATCTTCGGTGTCTACCACCGAGCCAGCTGCAGCAATCTGATCAACCAAGGCCTTGATGTCGGTAAGGTACTGAGTCATGGTAGAGGTTTTCATGGAGATATTATGAAGCTCATTCTTGAGCTGTATGACCTTGGACTGATTTGTAGATTGAAAACGATTTTCAAGAGCAGTCCAGATTTTGGAGGTGGAATCAAGATTAATGATGTAAGGTAAGATGGACGGAGAGATGGTCGAACACATGGCGGCGGCAAGATTCTGATCTGTTAAAAGTCATTGTGTGTATTTGGGATTAGTGGTTAGAGTAAGATTAGAGCGCCGGATGTGTTTTTCCGGGGGAGGAAAGATGGGTTCAAGAAATTTATCAAACCCGTTTGCGCGAAAGAGTTTGACGACCTGAGATCACCATAGCATGTAGTTCTCTGTTGAGAGTTGAACAGGAACAATATTCTTCAGATTTCCGATCACAAACTTCAGGGATGAGGAGATGGTTCTTCCTTCTTCGGCTTGATCGGCTTCGGTAGTTTCTTCGATTTGCGAAGCTGCCGAGTTTTCCATTTTGCCGATCCTCCCTTCACACCTGCTCTGATACCATGTGGAAACCTGGTTCTTGAGGTTTCAGAGATCTTCTTGATGGAAAGTAAAACAACGCAGAGCAAAGCAGAAGTGATAAGAAATATATTTTCTATTATGTTGTTTAATGTTTACAGCATCAGTCCTATATATAGAGCTGGATAGGCTGTCCGCCTATAAGTAAATTACAATACAACCATAATGAAAAGAATACAATATTATTTGTATATATATCCCTAACACAATCCCACAGGTAAAAGTGTGGTAGACATTCTGCTCGAAATGACCGGTGTTAATGTAAAACAGGCATCATTTGATAACAAACTTTTTTTTTTTTTGATAAAATTATGGTGGAAATTCCATCGAAAAACACCGTGAAGATTTTGATCGTTACATGTGCAGGTCATCCCACTACTACTTTCGATGAGTTATGGTCTTTTGAAAATTCCGCTCAAAATAAATGTCTTTCTTATATTACTTTCTAGCAACCTAAATGTTCTTTTAACCGTGTTCTGGCAAATATTAAATGATTCATATGCTTTCTAAATGGAAATGAAAATTACGAATGATTCTAAGTTTATCACAATATAAATTTGAAGGTTTTTTTAAAGAAAAATACAGGGAAAAGAACTCCAGCTCATAATTACAAGTCTAGATTGATAGAGAACATGTTAGAATAGAGAAAAGACCAATAAAAGCATTCAGGATTAATCTGAAGTAATCTAAGAAGAAATCGAGCCATCAGCTGTCTCATGCTTATCCAATTCGAATCCAGCAAAAGTTATTTTAAGCCTCTTAGAAGATGATATTGTCCTGGGAAAAAAATAACCATTGCAACCATCGTTTAATGCATCTTTAATTAGAATTAGTATCTATATATCTTCGACTTCATCTCCAGCCATATGATAATTTTGTCAATGTCATTGTTAGCTTGTTCTTCACTTTCCTCTGCCTCCAATAATTGTAGCTTCTATAAACTCAGATACTCATTAGATTTATGCCCATATTGGAAACATTCAAACATTTGAGTGTATTGCGCCTAATTGATTTGTACTTTAAGTTTTGGGTTCAATTTATTATCCTAATCAATCATAGTTGAGATGGTTGGGTGATTTTTATTCTGGCATAGCTGCTGGCCATTTAGTTAATGGTTTTTAGATTTATTACATTCCACAGCTAATTTAGTGAACTAGCAATGAGTTGAGAACAATTTTTAATGCCAGCTGAGTTGCATTTTTGCTTACAATGTAAAATTAATAACATGAGATAAAGACCAAACCAAGCTCAATTCCAATTTGTTGTATAAGATGTCATTTAATCCCCCAATATATCATGCAACAATTTGAATATGGGATTCATAGAGATAGTTCCATGCACTCAACATGTCGAATTCTTCTGTATATTCGCCTACAAAATGAGCCCTTTGCACACAATTTTAATATTTCAAGTAAAGTATTTGTTCAAAATTAGTGGGACAAAAATGAGCCCTCAAAAGCTATTTCATCTTCTACCAACTCCAAATCCGCTATTTCCCTTCTATGTGTCTCATATGCCAATTGGTGCCCACTAAGCACTAGAACTTTCTCTAAATTCTCTAAACCTACAAGCAACATACTTCACTTGTTTGTCTAGTTCAACCTCCATGTACTCAAGGAAGGTCACAACAACAGGTTCCTAGTCCTAGTAGTCTTCAATGAGCATACGTCCATCGAAGAACAAAATCAATGCCATGATATCTTAACGCTACTCCAAATCAATATCATAGAGAGCTTGTTGGTGATATAGAGTTTCTATTAGATAGTGGCAGAGTTCTAATTTGTTTAATCAGACACAAAAATTAATTATTTTAAAAATTTTATCAATATTTATTCAATAGCTATTTACAATTTTATATTCTAAAACTTTTTGGGGTTCATAAAATAAAATTTTTATTTAAATTTTTTTTTTGCGAAAGTACTATTTATATAATTGAAATGTTATGATGATATATAAAACCTTAAAAATTATTTCAAGTGAGAGAATTAGTTCGCTTGTTCCCCCTTAATTCGCCCTTTTATTTTACTATAAAAGCATAATGTGTTTGTAACATATCAAAATATATCACTGATCAAATGAATTGCAAAATTTCATTAAGAAACTTTTGAAAGGACTTGAATGTCAACGGCTTTTGTCCTATTCACTGAAACCTGAGCAGGAAATTAGAACTTTTTTTTTATTATGGGAGCTTGTTAGTGATATAGAGTTTCTCTTTGATAGTGGCAGAGTTCTAATTTGTTTAATCAGACATAAAATTAATTATTTTAAAAAATTTATCAATATTTATTCAATAGCTATTTAGAATTTTATATTCTAAAATTTTTTGGGGTTCATAAAATAGAATTTTTATTTAAATTAATTTTTTTAGCAAAAGTACTATTTATATAATTGAAATTTTTTGATGATATATAAAACCTTAAAAATTATTTCAAGTGAGAGCATTAGTTTGTTCATTCCCCCTTAATTCGCCCTTTTATTTTACTATAAAAGCATAATGTGTTTGGAACATATCAAAATATATCACTGATCAAATGAAGTGCAAAATTTCATTAAGAAACTTTTGAAAGGGCTTGAATGTCAACGGCTTTTGCCTTACTCATTGAAACCTGAGCTGGAAATTAGAACTTTCTTTTATTATGGGTGAACATAGGTTTGAGAATTGTATAATAATTTTGGATGAACATACATATACATGATGCATGCAGATAGCGTCAGAGTCAAAATATTTTCATGTGAGTGCATAATATTTAGGGAAAAATCTTTAAGATTACAAAAAATGTAAATCGCATAATTGATCATTACACAACTCTCATTGATCTGTTGGTCGGGAGCTTTGGCTATCAACCAGAGGTCTTGTGTTTTAAGGTTGCGTAAGTGATCTGTATATGAGTTTTCCTAAATGTCCTAATATTTAAGAAATATGGGATTGGTTGCATCAAAGCTTTAGGTGTTAAGTTATACAGCCTAATGGACTGGCAAAACTCACAAGCCTTAAATGCTTCCATTTACAGAGCATAGTAAAATTTGGAAATATAAGCCAGAATGAGAACCAAAAGGTTAACCTGAAGAAAAGTATGTTATGATTTTACTTTGTAAGAGTATGATACTGAAAAAAAAAAATCATCACACAAGCAGTCTTCATTCTTTTTAAGTATAAGCTCTTCTGGAAAGAAAGTTGACATTTTACCTGTGATAATCAAAATTCTAACCTCCAACAGTTAATGTCATCATTCCTCCTTTACTATAAAAAAATTAAGCACATATTAATGGTTTTCATCAAGTCATATATAGTTGCCTACATTTGATATTTAATTATTTCATAAAATATGGATACAATTAAACTTTTTTCATGACTACATTTATTGTCCCACACACCTCGATTTTATAACCAACATGACAAAACCTATTCATTCTAGCTACATCAATACAAAGCATTCAACCCAATCAACTCGATCGATCCATCACTAGCTACAACCATTACTCCTAAAGCCAATTCTTAAGTTCCCCACGTCATAGACTATATTGAACGTACGTTGATGCATATTACCAATAATTGCAACCATAACCTCATGATTTGTTTTAGCGAAGGCTAAGCACGCTTGAGATAACTTGGTCATATAAAGTATCCCTGAGCCGTCTAAGTAAGTCGTCACTTCTCCTTCATAGATAAACACAATCTCTGGCGCGTCAACCTCCGGCTGGCCAGTGAGGTCATAACATGTGTCGAGATTTAATAGTGGCGGTGCCATCGGGTACTTAATCATTTCCTTTCTGAAAATGGAGCGAAGGGCGTAATAGGTTTTGGGTGGAAGGTAGGTTATCGATGCTCCAGAGTCCAACATAGTTTCAATAGGTGAAAAGGAGAGCCTTCTACCTCCAATAGAAATGGCAATGAGCTTGACAAAGTATGATGATGGCATACTTGGGTTGGTTAGCATTGGTGTATACTTCACATCAGGGACAGTGCTACCTAGTTCGAGATATCCAATTTTATTAGACCCTGATGGTAGACAATATGAGAATACATTATCATATAATTGAGCTGTTTGGGAAATAATTGAAACAGCCCCCCGGCCAAGGCCTAATAACCCATCTGCTTGTCCAAAATATCCAGTGTTGTTATGTCCACAGCCAAAGTGGAAGTTGTGTATAATATCAGAGGAGAATGTCAAGGTGTCTTGAATAAAGGAGCCATTAGTACTAGAATGGTCTTCATATTCTTCCTCATAGAGACAAGTGGAGGTAGAGGAGCAACCAAATCGATTGAGTTGGGTACAGTAGTTAGAGTTGCATGAGATGTCGGTGAAGGTAGAGGACTGGGTCGGGTCATAAAGTGGGTTTTTTTGGGTGTAACAATTAACACAGGGGACACATTGGGTCCAAGTAAGATCGCTACCTGTGTCAAACATAACTGAGAAGGACTTGGTAGGGGTGCCTAGGCCTATGTTGACAATATAATTGCTGGTACCAAGAGCAAGACCAATGCTTGTCGGAACTCTTGCAAAAAGAGAGCCGCCAATAGGGTTGAGGCAGACGTTGGTGTTGTCGACCCGGCATTGGATGTAGTCAACGTGGGCTTGGTCCCGACGGAGGAGCTCCACATGTGACGGCTTTTCCTGGCGCCCCCGGGATGTGCATAGGCCATGCCAATGGACAACATTGAACCTTGAAGGGCTCGTGCCTGTCACAATTAGAATAACTAATTAATGTATATAATGATTTTTTTTTCTTTTGCATCACGTTTAAGTTTTTGATATCTAAGTTACATATTGAATGTTGTGTAGTGACATATTGACAATACAAATTTTAGATATCCAATGTCAACAGATCTTGATAACAAAATTAAAGAACATGCCTTTTGTACCCATGCTTGTATGTTCAGCATTACAATGCTAACATTTCATAAATAATAATAATAATAATAATAATAATAATAATAAACATGTGATACCACAAAAGCTTGTCACAACCCAACCCAATCAGGATAGGTCCCATCGTATTGAACTATGATAGAAAAATCACATGATCTAATTCAGGAATGTTTTAGATTCACTTGCAATATTCATTTTAAATTAACTACATAGCTACTAAAATATCCAACTACTAAAAATAATCTCATTCAAAAGATTTTTTTATATTTTATCAAAATATATTTATACTATAGTACATGGCTACATGCAAAAACTATTGAACTGAATAATAAACTAGTCATTACTATACAAAAATCAAAATATGAAAATAACTATAAACTTTTATTAGATCCTGAATTGCTAATCAACAGTCTATTATTATTCTAATTAATTTATAAAAAAAATAGTCTCTAATAGGGTATTAAGAAATTATTTAAATTTCTCACAAACTTTTATCAGGCAAGGAGCAGGAGTTGCTCGGCAACAGTGAGTTGACATCAATGACATGGTGTTCTCTGGCAAGCTCTCGCGCTGATACTAGAGAATTTTTCTCTATTAGGAGCAAAAAGAAGAAGAGATTGAGAAGACTATAACAGGAGAGTAGAGAAGAAGTCGCCATGAGAATGGAACTTTGAAGCTCTGCTTAGGATAATTTGGAGGAGTAAGCCAAGTGGGGGTGGTGTTTTATAGGCGACAAATTATTGCACATAATGGGGTTATTAGAAATATAGTTTAGAATATAAGTCATTGTTTTAATGGAAGATTAGGTGGCAGAAGAAGAGATGAAATAAGGGTTTTTACCTATGAAGAACGAAACAAATTTCTATGTCTTGGGCTTGTTCTTATATTACCCAATTACTGATTTTTTTCCCTTTAAGTTTTACTTTGATATGAAGTTATAAATTAATTGCATTCCTTTCAATCCAAATTTTTTTAAAGGAGTTGACCGTCGAATTTGGCTTGTAGCTAATGATGAGTTTTGAAAAGTTAAATATGCTTGCACCTTTCCCACGACATAACTTGTTATTTTTTAAAGAAAAAAAAGAACAAACAAAATTTCGATAGTATTTTGAGTGAGAATTCAGTTCAAAGCATAAGATAATTATCAATTAATTAGAGGAGTTTATATCAAATAATTAGATTTTTTACAAAATGGTTAATTTATTTTACAAAATAGAAAATATCTAACTAACAAATAGAAAAATTTTAGCTATGTGTAGAATCTGATTGTGTTGATTAATCAAGTTGTATTACTATATGAGACCTCAATTTTATTGGTTGAGCTCATTGAGGGGTTGTTTGGGTCCCCCATGTGCTTGGGTTATGGTGTTTTGTACCCATTTTTTGGCACGGCATTGCGACGCTATATAGTCAAGTTGGAGATAAACATAGAGGAGCGCCTCAACACTATATTTTGACACTATAACGCTGTAAATCAGACTAGAGACATAGAGTGGAGTGACATGGTGCCACAATGTTGCAAGTGTTGTACCCCTTGGTTAGTTTTATGTTTTTCTCTTTATGTATTATTTATAGAAAATAGTGTGAGGAATAAAGACAGAATAGGTGAGAGCGAGAAAGAAAGAGATGTGTACAAATTCTCCCAATTTTATAGTGATTTTCTTGGTGTTGTGTGACTCTAGAGTCTTCTTCAGAGTTTAGATTTTTTCACGTTAAATGCTAATAATATTTTTTCACTGCATTTTCTCTTTCTTGTTTGTAGCACAATCTTGTGAAGGTAAATTTCACATAAAATAAAAGTGCATATTTATGTGAGAAAAGGTTAATTGTAAATAGAAATTGTTATGACACTTAGTACTATTCACAAAAATGAAGTTGGTCTCTTAGATGAAAATCTAATGCAATATTGTAACTTAAAATATTTCAGTTAACTTTCTAAAGAACAAATTGTAGCCGAGATTTGGGATAATTAGTTTTATTCCATGTGAATGTGAATAAATTTTTTTATTATCAAAATTTAAATTATATTTTTTTGATAAAAAATAAAATTATTAATTTTATCTCTATAAGTAATTCTAATTATTAATTATATTAGTGAAAAAAAAATATCTTTGATAAAAAAAATTAGGGAAATTATTTCAAAAAAGAATATAGATTTCTTCCTTTTATTACAATATAGTTAAGTTCTTACACAATTTACGGAGGAAAGAGTTGACAAACTATTTTGTAGTTCCACAATTGACATTTAATAATGATTAGGAGAAATTATAAGAAATTATTTAAAGTATCTAAATAAATAAATCATTTTCTCCGAATTATACATTACTCTATAACAAAAGATTAATACATAAGAATTGATCAATTCAATATATAAGAAATCTATCTTTATTAATTTAGTATATCAACTAAACATATGGATAAGTTCCATTTGTCAATTCAAGTTATAACATAGAAGCCCATCCTCTTTGTTGACTTTTGTAATACAATAAAATAACAAAAAATATTGAATAAGGGTTGAAATAATTACCTGTGCTTTGTCCAAAATCCCTTTGCTCAAATCCAACTCAACGTCGCTACAGTCACTTCCCATATCCTTTTGTTAGATAATATATTTAGCATTATAAATTTTTTTAGCTAATTATGCATATTATTATTGGTGATTTTAATCATATATATGTGTGTGTGTGAAAAAAAAGTGAGACAAAGATATTAAAAAAAGAGAGAAAAAAAATGGAGAAAGAAAATTCAACAAAAAAAAAAGAAATGATATAAACAAGAGAAAGAGAAAAATTAAGAAGTATTTTTGGTATCTTCATTGTCGTTGACTCCAGTCCTTACGAAGGTTAACGTTCCAAGCTTAAACCCTATATTCAGCGTTTATGTAGCACCAGAAAATTGCCAATACACGCTTTTATCTAGCGTGGTAGCACGGGAATCTGATGCAGTACTTATGGCAAGACGGGTAGGCCCTGTACACACTATCATAGCATGGTGGGGACACTTGCATAGTGTGGCTGGGGAAAGAATTGTGTATTACAAATAGGTACCACGATGACTCACAAACGCTCTTGTAGCATGGTGGGATTGAAAATTTACGACCGTGGTGTTGCCCTACATGTATTGTATGCACTTTTCTCTAGTATTGCGGGAGACCCAGACTCTTGAAATTTCCCTTAAACAGGGGAGACACTAGGATGCTATTGAATTCAGTGCAAATGTAGAGGACCTAAACTTGAATAAAATGACAATATGGGACTGTACTTAGACTTGATTTTGAACTGAGAATAAAGAACATAACTTAAATAAGCACAGGGAATCAAACTTAATATTTAAAATAAAAAAATTATAATTGGAGAAAAAATAAAAATTAAATATACAAAGTAAAGAGTGACTGGTCATCCAGCTCTCAAGTGCACATGTACAATGAATAATGAAACTAAGATGACTCATCACAATCAACTAATCAATCTACAAATGAAAAAAAGTGACTCAAGGTCTCTAATAATAAAGGAATTGTGACGAATATAAATGAACAAATGGAAAACTTATGTTGAACACAATTCCAAGTAATTCACAAAATAGTGTAAGTTGGAGTGTGATCCTCTCACAGTCAACACAAGTTGACATATAACATTGCAAACTTTTAATGAATATGACAAGTATATCTGCTAATATGCAAATGCTAGTAGGAAGCGATGGAAATTTTATTTAAAAATCATCTAGTGGCATAGAAAAAGGCATATGGTGTATACAATAAATTGCTTGTAAGAGATAACAAAAACATGCAATGAATACAACAGTCTCCATGCAGTTGATCTCAACTTACAATCCAATGAACACACAAGCTGCAAGAAGATGACAACGTGTTTGTAATACATATAAGGTCCTATGAATTGTTGTAGGAGATCAATAATGCATACAACGAGCCACATATGGATGACAACATGAAAATACACAGTGTTTCTCTCACAAGAAGAGCATGAAGGAAGTGAAATAAATGTAGTGGAATTCCTATGATAGGTGCTAATTAACATATGAGCAAAGAATATTGATATTCATGAACTTTGATGGTTGATATGCAAGGAAGGTAGTACTTTTTCAACCAATGCAAACAAAGAAATGGACAATGATCATCACACCCCAAAAACCAATATCAGCTAGAAAATGAATATATCAATCTACTTCGCAGCAAAGATGATTGATGTGTTGTGATTGTGAAAGGCTGCTTGAAAACACTAATGAACAGATCATTGTGGACATAACATGCTAGCAGTCAACAACAATTCATAAGTTGTCATATTATTTCTCCCAAAAGTAGTGACAGTTGATATGCAATAGATATGGTAGTCTTCTCACCAACAAGTCCAAAGGAGTTGCGACTAATATAATAATATGTCTACAAGCATAAATCAGAAGGCTTGCAATGATTGTAGTGCATTGCATACAAATAATGACGCCTGATGCAGTCTATATATAAGTGGAAATGGTAGAGTGTTGTAAGCATGATAGACCCCATGAACACATATTCATATATAATGCATCATCTATCACTAGATGTAAGATAGTAGCAGTAAATATCAGCACTTGTAAAATGTGATAGTTGACATATGATTAATGCGATGATTCGTTGGATGATATGCATGAAGGTGATGCCGACAAATGTAGCTCAACCAGTAGTCATTAACAAATAATAGATGAACACATTGACTTTGCCTACAAGTGAAGATAGGAGATTTGCTGCAAATATAATGAATTTCCATCACATATGGATACTCATTTGAGGTGTCATTTGCAAGCAATGATAAATATATTTTTTTTTATTTTACAAGTAATGATGAATATTTGTAATATATATAGGTCCTCTATGATTACAAATTTACGCATTACATTCCACCTACAGGTCTATGCGTAAGGACTTCAGTAAATGTGATATCCTATAGTCAACTCCAATCTATTAATGAATACATCTACGTGCCTACAAGCTACAGTAGATGATG